GCTATAGGGATATGTGAGTTTCTGTTCCGGTTCTTAAAGTAGCTACTATTTTTGAAGTTGGAGTGCTTTGTATTGCTCCTGATTGCGAGCTAGTTTGAACTGAGTGCTTTGTATTGCTCTTAATTGCAGCCGGTTTGAACTGGTGAGACCGTAAACGCTATTTAATGAGGCTCGTTTTTTGTTTTTAGGTATTTTGAAGGAGGTATATCTTCTGTTTACTTCTGGGATCTGGATCACGGGTTTGCCGGAGTAGTCCTCATCAAGAAGGTTGGTGATGGTTTTTTCGTCTCGCGATACTTGTATTCCAGTGATTATAGTAGACCTTCTCGGAACGTCTAATTTTAAGTCTTAGCAACGTTCAAATTTGTCTTAAGTGGTGACTGTAACTTTTTTCGCTTACCATTAGCTTCCAAAATACAGGGTGACCAAAAAGTTCTGGCAATTTTTCGAAATACTTTGGTAGTATAAAAATACCATTTGAATAAGTAAATCAGCAAACCTGAACGACTGGGAGTCTTCATCAAATCAGTAACAATGACAGTATACAACAAAGTCACAACATTTGTTCAAAATTGCCTCCTTCGGCCTCAATACATTTGCTCAGTCGCTTTTCGAAGTGTCCGACAATGGTCGCGCATTCTTCTACTGTAATTTCGTCCCAAGCACGCAGCAACGCCGCTTTCAGGTGGTCCACCGTCGCGCATCGGATTCCTGAGATTTTTTGCCCCAAATGGAGTAATCCATCGGGTTTGGACCAAGCGAGTTGGGAGGCCAAACGTCCTTGCCCCAACATCCCGGAAACAGCTCTTACACAAACGGCACTCGTGGGTTTGGCAGAATGTGCGAAAGCCCAGTCTTGCTAGAGCACGAATCCATCTGGACCGAAGTGCTGCGACACCCATGGTTTCAGTACATCGCGAAGAACGCATTGTTGGTAGCTGACAGCATTGATCTTAACGTTGCGCTCGACAGACAAGAGGCGTCTTTCCGGTGGCACAGATCCCGCCCCAGACCATGACTGAGGCTGGAAAGAGTCTGCGTCCGACGGATTTCGCTGCCATTGTCTTCTGCTGACCTTTTCTGAGGAGCTGACGACAATTCCGGTAGTTGTAGCCAATCAATTTTTTCGTCGGTGGAGAGCACATTTTTGCGAGCAACCAGCACCGACCAGAAGATGCATCTCAACAACTGTGACCTTTTGATTTTCTCGAGACAGTGAGAAATCGAAAGTGATTGGATAGATGACTCATACAGTAGATCGAAATTGCTTGCGGAATACAAATAACCTATCGGAGAGAAAAAAGACTGTGATGACCACTCAAAAAACGCGCGAACACGAAATTGCCAGAACTTTTTGGTCACCCTGTATTTATTTCGCCGCAGTCCGGCTTGGTGGGGGCATTTTGCTGGTTCCCAAGGATCACTGCCTATGCCTCCGACGAAAACCTGGTGAATTCCTGTGAAGCTACGCTGTAGTGTGATATTCGTTTACGTGTGACAGGAGTCTACTGGTCCATCAAGACGAAAGGTACTCTACGGAACAAGCAGTGCAAACCAAGGAAAGTGCTAGATGCCCCAGAAAGCGTTTTTCTTACTAGGCGCCATAGTTTAAAGGCAATTGGCAAGATAAATTCTTAAGACGAGTAGGATTAATACGCCTGGCAGGACGGAATTCCGCGACCCTGAGCAGGCGCTGCGTAGCGCCTTTTCCAAGAAGGTACCCTTATAAGGCCCTATCAAGCTGCAACATACCGACCCGAACGCCCACCACGCCCGCCCGCCCACAAATGGACGACCGTACCTGATGCTCGTATTGCTTCATTTGCGAAGTAAAATATGAAGCGAAGGGATTGGTATGAAGCGGCTGCGGTGCTGCATGGATATATGAGTACATACGTGCAGCCGTACCTACCGTAGCGGTTATTGGCAAGATGCCTTACGGAAACTCGTCCCGGAATTTGCATTTTTTGAGTTGTTGAGAATGAAGGCTTGTCTTCGCCTTTCCACTTCGTTTTTTCGCCATTTTCCCCATAGCGCCCAGCTAGCATTTTAGGTTCGGCAGCAAATTATCGTGCCAGCTCCCTTTAAATGTTAACTTTAGAGATGTGGAATAAGGAACTGACAGAATCTTTGTTGTTCATAAGTATTTTTTGTTTCTATTGTGAAACGATCTGATTTAGAACGGAGACGGTTCAAAAAGCTATTCAAGGATGTTGGGATTCTATCCATGTTATCGAGATTAACGAAAGAGTAAGTGTTGGCATTTGGGACATGTATGACCTTCTAAATGGGTTTAGAAATCCGAACGTCTTTTGCAGTCTTCGCGCCAAGTTCATTATAAGCTGACGAGTACGATCATGCTTTGGTTGCAAACAAATAAACCAGGAAGTGGTATGATGAATCTTGGAGGATCACTAACAAGACAGGTATGTTTTTTTGTGAGAGTTTAAGATGGAAGAAGACTCGAGTGGTCTCGTTAGATGACGCCGAGCGGACCTTTCGGACAGGTATGCGCGGGCTCGTAGGGAGGGACTGATAACTCAGCCTTGAGGCCTTGCAGTGCGTGGCGGCATTGTAAGTAGCATCCGCCTCCAGATGTTAAGAGTTACCGTTTTCGTTCTACATCAGCCGTATCCTCCAAAATTGCTGACATTTTGGGTCGAGATGCCAAATATCCGGCCAGCGAAACAAGCAAACATAGGCGGCTATCCTTAGAGTACAGTCACAGGCAAGTAGCGCGTTCCTCGGACTATGCAAAACTAGCCTGCTGTGCTGCCAACTGAGGTCTGTGGTTAAATGGGACCTCCCCACCACTACCCGCTTCTCGTTTTGCCCACTTGTTGACTGGGAAGGTGGCTGCTTTTGCAGGTTTCGCGATCGTTCACTCACGCGTTGCATAAGGGTCCAGGATCCATCGAGGTGGGTGCACAGATTTGTCTTTGATGAAAAGAAAGTAAGGATTTTTTTCTTCTGTCCTTAAGCACTTTCCGTGATCAAATAAGGCTATAGCGCTAAAACATTTTGGTTTTGCCCCAAAGGGATGATCGTTACAGAGGCTATGCTCCTACACTTCTAAAAAGTAAAGGAAGTGCAGGTTTGGGATGAGGAAGGCTCGCCATTTAGGCCATGGCAAAACCTCAAGGCCCATGTCCGTTGTGACGAATCGGAGTTAGCGACGGCTAACTTTCGCGCATTCGTCGCTCGTAATATTGTAGGAAGTCATTATGAAATAATAGGCATCAGCTGTTTTATGAGATTTGTCAAGTCTGTTTTCCTATTCGTTCTGTTTTTTGTTTTCTTCTCATTCTACTGTCTACATTTTTTCTCTTTATTCTGTATCTGCACAGAACATCGTTAGTATTTAAAACGTAGTAATACTGATACAAGCACTAATAGTAATACTAAGAGTAGTACTATATAGTATAGTAATATTATATAGTATGTAATATACTACAAATACAAATAAACGGATAAATGAATAAGATAATGCTAAAAAAACATAAATAAAAACGAGTGTTTGGAACGCCACCGGAATCGATCGACTGTTGGCAAAAAGCCAGCACAGTCGCGCACTTCGGAAAACACGTCCGATCCTGTCTTCTCTTCACTGTATGCACGTACGAGCTCGGTTAGGCAAGGGGTCTTGTCTAGGGCATTTCGGACGGTTTGTTGCTGATATTTTCTTCATTATCTGGCTACATAGTCCCATGTCGTACTTACTGAAGCTCCATTACCTTCCATAGGTGATCCCGGGCTTTGCCTTTAGCCGCAGTGTCTCCCCCTGTTTTCATAAAATACGTGATGGTGAGCTATACCGTCATGGATAGGTTAACAACTTTGATGTCATCCAAAAAATCTTCTCACTCATGAAGGCTATGTTGTCGCAGTCCTTTGAAGCCGCGAGCCTAATCGGACTCGCTTTGATTCAGCGAACCATTCTGGAAAGCATAAACCCAAACCCTTTTGGTATATTCTTCACTCCCGTAACTCTGCTCTGATAAATTCGTTGCGCTTGCCTCAACTCTTTCTCCTTCAGCTAATTCTAACCACTCGAAGTGGAGAGAGCCTGTAGCGGAACAACCGTACAACAGCGCAACCTCTAGAAATAAAAATTGGGTTTGCAGTGGCCAAAGGGGTTAGCTATGGTTCTATCGCGAGTGGGTGGTGCTCTCCTAATGTAATCTTGGGCTGCGGAAATGGCACATCCTCCATGCTTGCAGGCAGGATTACCATGTCC